GGGTTTGGGGTTTAGGGAGCTCTTGTTTGGTGGCTGCCGTGACTTTAAAGGACAGTGATTGCGGCGATGGGCCTGGACCTCCAAACCTCGAGGCTTCATATAGAGGCCTTCAATAATTAGAATAGGGTTTTGGGGTTTAGGGTTTAGGGTTTAGGGTTTAGGGTTTAGGGTTTAGGGTATGTTATACTGTATAATGGTAATAATGACCCCCAAAACCCTATTCCAATTATTAAGGCCCCTACACTTAAGTAGGTCCTAGATGTTGCATGTTTCTGAGCAACTGCACAGTTTGTGGAGGCTCAGGCCATCAATGGTAATGTAGGGGCCTAAATAATTACCAATACTATTTTAGGCGTTCCTTAGTATATAACTATACTATTATGGGCCCCAAAACCCTATTCTAATTAGGGGGGTTCCTTAATTTGATTATTGTATTCTGGGCCCCAAACCCCAATTCTAATTATTAAGGCCCCTACATTAGTCCTCACATCTTGGAACCCTACACGTTTTGAACGGAACCTAAACTCCAAAGTCCGTGCGGAGACCCTACACGTGAACATCTTCAATGCACTGTTTCTTAACAGCATGTGCACACAAGATCAACCAAACAGTTCAACCACGGCCATCCATACCGCAACGAAGCTTTCAAGCCCTAGCAACCCCAAGCCATTCCTGCCGCAAGCGCCCTGGCTTGGACAAAAAAGGACAAACAGCCATTACCAATACTATTGAGGGGTTTCCTTATTATAACAGGCTACCACACTTTTGATTATCCGAACGGCCATTGCAAGGCCGGCAAGTTCAAGGCTGAGAAGGAGCCGGTCCGGACCACTGGAAGAAGCCAAGCCTCCCAGCGACAAAAGGGGGGTTCTTGACACAAAACAACGTGTTTGGGGTTTTTGGGGGGTATAGGGTTCAGGTTTCAGGGTTGAACGCTGAGGGCAGGTGGTTCGGGCTTTGGCCGTCTCTTGCTCTCATAGAAACGACGGTTGCTGGTGGTCCTGCTGACTCGTAACCCCAAACCCCCTAAACCCCCTTAAAGCCTAAACCCCAAACCCTAAAACCCTACTTGTTCATTTTCGGAAAACTCCTACTGCGAGCTTTGGGGTTGGCGGGTGGGCTGTGGAAGAGTTTCCGGGGTTCGGTAGCTTAGACGTTTAGGTGCATTCCTAGAGAGCCACCTTAGGGGTCCATGTGCCTCCACAGCGCAGGCATGTTCCGTAGGCCGGGCTCAGGATTCCTACAGTGGCCCACAAGCTATACCTGGACCCCAAAAGTGTAGGCGTTGTGCCACCTGATTACTTGCTTTTGTTGGTATAGGTAACAGCCGAGCCGAATCTGTGAGGCTTCTGATGTCGCGCGGAACACCTCGGGGCAGACGTCCCAGCAGCGTTCCGGCGCTCTGCCTGCCAGGACCCGGTTCTTTGAGGTTTTCGGGTTCTGCAAAGATGTCAAGGTCTTTATGCCGGCTTTGTAAGCAATTAATTATGCGCATACTTCAAACCAGAGCCCACGCTTCTATACCTTCTCAAGCCCGAAAAATGCAAAACATTGTCTGGATTAATGACTGTCAATGTCGGGTGAGGCTGTTTGACGAAATAGGGAACGTAAGCCGGTGCCATTCATCATTGTCATACCGATCTTGTAGTCAAGGGTGTGTCTCAGTGTGCCTACTCTACACATTAAAGTGTATAAGGTTTTGGGTTTAGGCAGACTACATCCCAGCTTTATAAAACTCGAGGCCCCCAGCCGGTAGCGAACTGCCCAACTTTCGGCGTGATGAATCATAAGCCGTCATCCAAAGACTTGGGCCCTAAACCCTAAACCCTAAACCCTAAACCCTAAACCGCGCAAAATCGTCTTCATCCTCAAGCCCTAAACCCAGCCATAAACTCTGACCCGATCTAAACTTTGATGGAATCCTTATCGGTTTCTTTTACAGAGCTCTGAACCTTCTGGAAGTTCGTATACATGTCGCGAAGACACTGATAGAAATCCTTGCGAAAGCCCTTGTAGAACCGTAGAGTGAACCTGCGAAAACTCATGGAAATCCTTATAAATTATGCAAACTCCAGTCTCCAAATAAACCCTACTGTAAGGCCGGGGAGCGACGTGAGGGTTCTCCCAGTTCTAGACGCTCAGGCAGGCAGTGGCAAAAACTAAACAACATGAAAGGCTAAACTAGCCCTTACAGAAGCCTTGTCGAATCCTCTACCCCCTTCACCCAAATCCCAAAACCCCTAAATCTTATTGAACTGTCATAGAAGCTTAATTATCTACATGTTGGTATGTGTATATATATATATATAGTCATACGTATATACATGCGCATACATATATACATATATATGTAAATAAATACTTAAATATATATATATATATATATACACACATTAGTCATAAATATATAACAGATAGATCGATAGATAGATAGATAGATAGATAGATAGATCGATAGATAGATAGATAGATAGATAGATAGACCGTAGAAGTGCCCAAGAGGCCGGCATGGCACCCGGAGGACCTGAGACCTTCGCCTCGCCTCGGCTCCCCCGGCCGCCGGCGGCCACGGATCGATCTCCCGGTCTTCCAAGGATCGAAGCTTTAGGGTTTAGGGTTTAGGGTTTAGGGTTTAGGGTTTAGGCTTAGAAGTGTGAGGATTTTTTTTTTGGGGTGGGGGTGGGAACCCTAAACCCTAAACGCTATAAACCCTAAACCCTAAACCCTAAACCCTAAACCCTAAACCCTAAACCGGAATTGGAAATAACATACTGTTCCTTATCTGAGGGAGGGCTCTTAGGGTTAGAGTTGCAGGGTTCAGGGCCTAAGTTTAGGGTTTTTCTAGGCGAGGTTTACAGCTGCTGTTTCTATTGGCCATCTAGAACATATACTGCACATTGGCACTTTCCCTGGTTCTGTTGTGGCTTATTTGCGCTGTATAGTACTTGAACACGATGCTTCCTGTATGTATTTCGTAGCTGAGACGGTGAAAACCGCTAATCATCTTGGCGGCCAGGTAATCCTGCAGCACCCTAAACCCTAAACCTGTATTCGCTCTAGTAGACCATGCCCTCACGCTTCGGCTTGCTGGAGAAAGCTATGGACGCTGCAAGAAGAACACCGACTTCGATTCATCACGGGCAAACAGCACTGCTAATCTAGGGTTTAGGGTTTAGGGTTTATAGGGGCCCTAATA